AAAAAAAAAAAACCAATGAGGATATTATATACTTCTGTGTTTTACTTTCGATTCAATAATTTGGAACCATTTCCATTTTGCACTATCAGCGAACAAAAAATTAGCCTAGATTTCAAATATTAAGTTAACCAAATGAGAATTCTTACAAACCGCAGAGACATGAATTCCAATGATATGACAAAGATCACAAAAAACCATGTTGATTTTGGAAACCGTAGTTGGTTATTCCAATTTAAAATTGGATTTGTAATCAGTAACATTGCCTTGATATGATGTACTTAGAAACAGAAAGCAACAAACCTTTCACAGGCTCTAGTCATGAAGAGTATGTAAGTCGTAATCGAAAAATTATAAGGATATTTTCCTTGAAGAAGATAATTGTGTTTTGCACCTATGCAGCAGCCAAGATGATGTCTTTACATGTTCGACAATCTTAACATCTTCCAGAACATTAAAGAAATGTTTATAAAGTTGTTTTGCTACATAATTCTATGCAAAATGGAAGATCTTTAATTTGGGATCTTTTTATCAAAACCCAAGCACATGGAATAGATTTAATAGTCAGCAAAGATCCCACACAATCCATGGAACTTCTTTTTCTTAGTTTGTCCGTTTGCAATGCTTAACAACAACTCCCATAATACTTGTGTATTGCAACATCACTTTCTAATACATATAAATCTTTTGAACAGCAAACACTATGAGTTAACAACACTTGTTGGGATATAGAATTCAATAATAAAGTACAACAAATTGCAACAAATTGCAGAGACACTAATTCCAAAACCATATACATAAAAAAAGGGAAATCATAAACAAAGCTAGATGGATAACAAGAATGAGAAATGTGAAAAGTAAGAGAGAGAGAGAGAGAGAGTAGGTTTACTTTAGGGCGGGGGCTAAAAAGCAGAAACAGCCATTGTCATCCTCCTCCGCTCAGCACGCGCGCAGGCTGCCACCCACCGTGTGGGCCCCATTACCTTGTTCAAGAGTGGGGCTTTGTATGATCTAATCTGCCACCTTTTTTTTTAA